CGACGCGTAAGCCATTTCGTCAAACACAGTACAGTTATCCCCATTCTAATTCAACTCATTTTACTCTGTTTTTTCGTGAAAGAAATTCATTAGTTAAACAAGGTCAAAGTTCCTCTAGGTCAAAGGTTAATCGTATCACTCCTAGAAATTACACCATCGCCAGAAGAAGTAGTTCCCTTTCAAACTACACACGTTTATTATGTGCACACAGACTAAATCTGACAATGATGAACAGACCAAGTATTATAGATAAAATGGACGGAATTATGATGAAACCGCCCTCTAGTTACAGAAATGAGCAGCCCGCTGATTCCTCAACTACAGGCCATTATCAGTTCTGTTGTCAAATGACGTCACAGCAGGTGACGTCAAGCTCCATAATGACGTCATAAATCTTGTTTCATGATCTAACAGTGTTGGGTCAACAGCCCGTTGCGAGTAAGTTGTTTGAACTTAGAATTAAATTTATGATACTGTTTTGTCTTTTTTAACACAAATTCCACCCATTTTAACTGGATAGGGGAGTTAATTGACCAGTGGCTTCTGCAAATGACAATGTCCTGCAAAACAGCGTTTATAGCATTGACCAATCAGAACTCATGTTACATACTAAGTTGAATTAGAATTACCCCTTAACAGTCTTGCCTCAGGTTGTGACATATGGTATACCTGGGTTTGTCCGTCTTCGCTGTTTGATGACTCATGTGTCTTTGATGAAACCAGATGTGACATGCTGCCCCCAGTGTGGTTGAAGTCTTTTGATTCATCACCCTTTCATCAAACCATCAGCCTTTCATCAAACCATCAGCAAGGGACCAAAATTAAATTTCAGTCTGATTACAGATATCGACCAGCTGCATGTGTGATACATCTCTTCAGTTGTCAGTGTTGAAGACGGACTGTTCTGTTTTCATTTTTAGTCAATACATTGTACACCAAGATAATCTCTTAAGCCATTGAGTAATTACACAGCATTGGGCTTTGATACTTTTTGTGCTTATTGTATGTAAGTAACTCAAAATTAGCTGGGTAATAGCGATTTATGTTTTACATCAAATGCAAATATGCTTATCTGGAGCTGTGTTTGTAATTAATGCTTTGTCGAGTGAGTGAGTTTAGTTTAGTTTTACGCCGCACTCAGCAATATTCCAGCTATATGGCGGCGGGCTTTGTCGACGGAGACATTGCAGTCTGTGCCATTATGAAGACTGGTAGTCAGAACCTGGCTCTTTACATCACTGTCAGTAAATTGTAGTGTAGTTATATGGCGTATTCAGGGTTCGATCTTTACGCTCGCCCACAAGCCCGAGGCAAGTAAAAATTTAGTCGGGTGAATTGAAACAAAGTTGCACTAGTCCGGAAGACTACTAGTTTTTTTCAATGATTATTCATCAAATACTGCAATTGAGATCATCCATTTTCAACTCTCACCACCAGACTAGTGAATCCAACATTGCAGAACTCCAAGATAACATCTACGTACATCGTGTCACTTTATTCAAAACATGATAGAGGTCCCTCGCTATACCTCCCGTTTTAGGTTGGAAAGAGCGTGCAAAACTGACAATTTTAGATATCCATTTAAACACCTTCTGTTCATTACAACTGGCCCCGATAGAGCATAACTATCTGATAAATTATAGCCTCCCACCAAATACCTCTCATAACACTTGGCAGAAAAAATCGCTGCATGTGTTTCTTCCTTCGTGGTTTATCTGGACATTATTAATGTGTAAGCTTGCATTTTCATTATAAATTAACTTATCTTATTTGAATAATATGAGAAAAAAACTTTAATATTTATAAACAGTAAGATTAGATCTTTCAAATGGTGTATGACATGCAGTAGCAATAATGTTTTACAAGCTGGTATTTTCCTTGATAAACACAGGCTTCATCTATGACCTCATAGTCTCTGGAAACTCAGTGTCATGGCAGTGAAAAACTCTTGTTGACTGGTGTTGAAAGAGTTAAGAGTAAATTAAATCATTTGTTACATACAACAGTAAAGCAATGAAAGTTAATTTCATTATCAATGGACTACTTGTTTTGTGGGCTAGTGATAGCTGAAGGTTACTAGTTTAGTTCTAACCCTGGTATTATTAGCGGAGCTCGCCAGATTGATCAAAATTTTAGCCTCAGGCTTTGTTGCTTTGCTGCTTACTTCATTGTGTGTATATTTAGCGTAATAATTTATCATGAAATCCTTTGACAAAGTTGAGAAAACTCAGTATGTGGTATTTAGATGACTTCAATCAAATATGCCAGGCCTGCCAGTTCCCCAAAGCCAAGTCCCCTTTAAGGATATATTTATTTAGTACGAAGCAATGAGGCTGAGTGGTGTACAGCCAATTTGTTGAGACCGTTAGGTACAGGTCAGTTACATTCCAGTAACCAGTCAAGTGAGCCACTCACTCCAACACCTTGTACTGCAACATTCTCCGTAGTCAGCAGTACTAGTCACACCCAGTTGGCTGCCTCTCTCCGACAGTCATGTTGTTTCTGGTATGTTCACCTTCAGCTATTCCTCTCTGTATATGTGTTTTATAGTAGGGGATGTTTTACCTTGTCAGTGCATTGTGTTATTTGTGGATAGCAATAGTTTAAAAAAATGACAGATCACAGATCTGTTGTTTTGTAGGCTTGTATCTTTGGATGCTCCTCGTTCAGTATTCAACAACAATTTGTTTTCTATTTTATGATTTGGGGTGTCAAACCCCAGTTCTTACCTCCGGATTTAAAAAAAAAATGTTTTCTCTTTTTTTTATGATTTTGAGTATGAAACCCTAGTTCTTTCCCACTGATTTAGATCTCAGGCATGTGTTACTATGCAGCAATATCTGGTGTATTTTATGGATGGAGAAATGTTGTGTTTAAGCCAAGGTAAGCCTGCTAAATACATTTACGACATTTGTATGTGTGACAGAAGGTCATAAGATAGGTAAGCAGATGCACGGAACTCTTGTTGAAAGCAAGGAGTCATTCATACCCTATTTCACTCCAGTCTGAGGGGAGGTGGGGTAGCCTAATGGTTAAAGCGTTGGCTCGTCACGCCGAAGACTAAGGTTCGAATCCACACATGGGTACAATGTGTGAAGCCCACTGGTGTCCCCCGCCGTGATGTTGCTTGAATATTGCTAAAAACGGCGTAAAACCAAACTCAGCCAGTCTGACAGTCAGCAACATTCATGCCCCAGTTCACACAGTTCTGCACCATTCAGAGTTTTAAATAGAGCGTCAAGGTTAATACAGGTCTCCAACAGACTATGTCTGTCACAAGAGGCTGTCACAGTGGATCAGGTGGTCAGACTGGAGACCATATAGTCTCTGTTGTGACTCGTTGACTTCAGCATGGGTCCGCATACAAAATGGCAATCATTGGATTATCTGATCAAGACAGGGTTATTTATAGGCGTGAATATTTTATTTCTGCTGCAATGAACAAAGAAAAATAATTGTTGAAACTCCCATGAATCCAAGTAGATACATCAGTTGCAGAAGTTTATCGTTTCCATGATCCTCAGATCCAGTCAGTGCACAGCTGTGTGTGCTTACATTTCTTGTGTACATGTTGGCTAACATCAGATGGATGTCCTTCTAGAGGCGGTAGACAGGTATCTATACACATGGATTTATCACTCACTGTTCCAGGTCTTATTGAAAATAGGCCAGACTGGATAATAACGAATTTATGTACAGACTGGACAATAACTAATTTATCTCACCATGTATTGCAATAAGTTTACAGTTGATGGAAGAACAATGTTCATGTTTGATCAGACATTGTTGAAACATTGACAGACACTAACCTGAAAGGTTTACAATGGTTGTAACACCCCTAAAGAAACCTGAAACTCTTCCTGCCTGGCAATGAATTTAAAAACCTAAGTAAATCAATTTGGGCTGTGCCAGTTTCTATTTCAGCTCAGTTGATCACAAGCTAGTTAACATCCATTTTCTACCAAGCGTACACCACTGAATGGTTGACTTGGGTGTGGAATTCATTTGATGTTTATACGCACAAACATAAGCACATCTAAATGAGCCCACTCAATTTCTGTGGCTAAACTAGGTATGCCTGTATTTACAGCTCCAACATTTGTGTGGGCGTGGGTGTATAGATCTGTCGGAAGCGTAATTAGTGGGAATGTGCTACATTTTTAGATTTGTGTCTTTGTTTTAATTAATCTGATCAAGGTTTCTATATTTAGTGTTGGTGTGGGAGGGATGGTTAGACAATTTCCTCCTTCAAAAGAAAAAAAAATGTTGTTTGTGAATGTTTGTTTGTTGTGAATTCCTTAGATTAACTGATGAGGGGAAATTTGTGTTGTTTGTGGTACATCATTGTGAAGTCTCATGGGATGTTTGTTCCTGTTGGTTAGGAGTGTCTGAGGTTGATCAGCGATGTGACGGTAGAGGACTGTATCACATCATATCGCATGCAGCCTGTGTCAGTTCATGGGATTTTCATGTATTTGAGTCATCACTGAAGAATTTGGCTGCAGGCTGCAGTGCTTGAAACATTGTTTCAATTCTCTGGGTCACTTTACCCACAGGAATAGGTGGAGATTAGTCTGAATATTTTAGACTACTTCCCAGAACTTAGTTTTAGCATACCTTTCAGTATGTTTTACTGTTATTATGTCAAATGTAAGAAGCCGTCAGAGCTTACTGAACCTGTACAGACTTAAATAGACAGGCTTCAGACTAGTGGCTAAAGTCTGAGACTGCATGTGTGTAAAGTTTTTTCATCAAGTTTCTTCAAGGCAAAGGAAATTGACTTTAGCAGCAAACACCATTGCATACAGCGAGCGGTGAAGCTGTTGTGTTCATGTCTGAGTGTAACCTGTAGCTGCAGGTGTTGAAAACAGTCGTGGGACAACGGAAGTGATTATCTGTTGTCTGTTGATTCAGGAAACAGTGACTGTTAAACCACAGTCAGTCATTATTGTGTGGAATTACCAATCAGCATGTCTGACTGGATGGATTATCTTTGCCAGGGCGTTCCAGTGCTGGTTGGTATAGGTGTTGTTGCCGTCACCGCCATTCTCGCCAAGATCTTCCTGTTCGGAGACAAGAAGAAGAAGGCACCCATAACTCTACAGGACCCCACGTTGAAATACCCCTTCAAACTTGTGGACAAGGAGGTAAGTGTGGAAAGACTTGTCTTCATACGTAAGCAGGAATTATTCTATTATCTGCTGGAATATTGTTGGGGCATTATTCAACTAAAGGACTGTCGGAAATAGAAAAAAAATGTATTTGGGCAGTTACTCTGTATCCCTAAAATGTACACAACTGCAAATAGCAAATGTCGAAATAACCCACTTCGGCCTAACTGGGCGTTCAGTGGGATGCGTAATAGGATATCCAGAAAAGCATGTTTACTCGTAAAATCGGGCAAAACTTAGAAAAAATACGAACAGCTGCTGAAAACAATAGATCAGACTATAGATGGCAATTAGGTCGCTCAGCCAGGTATGACGACGGACCGTCAACTCACTTGGCATGAAATGCACGTGCTGCCCACAGACACAAGGGGTCATCTCAAATATCTTTTATGCTTTTACATGTGTATTAAATATGTCTCTACTGATTATCTTATATAGCTAATATCTCTATCCCCAAACCCGACCCCAAGTTCCGTCAGCAACACCCGTCTTGGTTTTGCTTTTAAGACGACCCCACCTACCTGTTTCTTTTTATAGTGATAGTGAGACTCAATGGTATCTACATCCTTCATAGTTTCAGTATTAAAGTTGTTATTCTTTACGTCTGCTATCTTTTATTATGAAGCTAAGTCTAATTTCAAAATGGACATTCAAAAAGTGTCATTTGTTATACAATATCATCGCACACTAATTTGCATAAAGCCATGGTCTGCTCCAAATAAGTCTCTTCGGACTTTGACAAAACTGCATTGCTCATTTCTGCACTAATATCTCCTCAGTAAAATCTTTTTTTAACTTTTCCTATCTCCCTACCACTGAGACTGTAGTTAGGCCGAACTTAGTTCAACAGATATTTTACATATTAACTACCTAAATTGTAGATATAAATGTGAAAAAACAGTTTTTTTCTATTTCCGACAGTACTTTGGTGAAATTTTTCACTGATGTATACAGTGCTTTGTATCTACTTTATATATCTTTTCTAAATTTTTGTTTTTATTCTAGAATTGCTTGAGTAACATATAATGAGCTCGTGGAATTGTTTTTAACCATAATGCCCCATTAATTCAGCAATTGTGCTTGTAGACATGATAGAAAACAATTATGGTTTCATGAGAAAGTAAGATTATTTATGGATAACAACTTCTTTTATTATATATGATGCGACGTTATTATGGTTTCATGCACCAAAAATATTTTTTCGAATGGAAGAACTTCTGAGATGACTGTCTTTAGCCATTTAATTAATCAATGTGTTTCACCACACCAGACATGTTGCGATCACTTGTGTCAACCGAAGAAATGATAATTCTGTACCAATTAACTTAAATTTAAACACAGGTTCAATAGAGGAAGGAACATTTGGGGGAATTATTGTTAACTCCCAAATTCTAGTAGTCCGAAATGTGCCATAGACTATAAGGATGTGATCATTTGCACCTACTCCAAAGCCAAACAGGCTGAGTTACAAAATTTGTTCAGCTATTATTCAAATTTACAAAGACCACGCCCACCCTTCAGGCCTCGTGTCTATTAATATTATTATCAATTGTAAATATCAATAAAATGTGTTTGTTTCCTGAATCATTTGAGTATTAATAAATATTTATGTGCTTAATAGAGACATACTTTGCCAGTCTTCAGTAAAGTGAATATAATGACTAAATCAATTGATGTATAGCCTGGTCGGTTGCTTGTTCCAGTCCTACATTGTTTCATGGTAGTTTGTCTCACCTATCCCTGTGTGAATTCAAACTTCAGCACCATGTATAGAAGTTATTTGTCCTATATACACTACTCTACTTTCGATAGGGATATATCGATCTTTCTATGATAGATAAACTATATAATATACTATAATAAACTATAAAATGACAAACCTTAGTGTCATTAACAGGGATGGCAATTTTCCGCTGATCCACAGATTTCCGCGGATTTTATTTCAAATTGTTCAATTGTGAATTGTCTAAATCCATTGAGAAACCCTCAGCCCAATGACACAATATTAAGTTTTCCGCAGAAAATAGATTTTCCTGTTGCCATCCCTGCATTAAGTCTAACATATGAAAAAATTGAATGGCATTGTCTAATTATCCTTGTCGAAAATTGAGTAATATGTCATTGCATCATTGGTTTGTCCAGACCTCTAAAAGCCATTATACATTGGGCGGTGGGGTAGCCTCTTGGTTAAAGCGTCTGCTCGTCACGTCAAAGACCCGGGTTCAATTCCCCACATGGGTATAATGTGTGAAGCCCATCTGGTGTCCCCCTGCATGATATTGCTGGAATATTGGTAAAAGCGGCGTAAAATCATACTCACTCACTCATTCCATTATACATTGTCAGAGAAATTTAACAAAATAATGTCTGAAAACATTTTTTGGTTGTTTTTCTTGGGTTTCAGATTTGCTTTCACCCTCATTCTAATACTGTACCTTATTTATCCTACAGATCATCAGCCATGACACCAGAAGGTTCCGTTTTGCCCTGCCTTCACCCGAACACATCCTGGGACTGCCAATAGGTACAAAAACACTGTCCACCCATTGGCCAGTTGGTACTGCAGATTGTAGAACCAGGACTTGTATATACGTTTATAGCCCACTTGCTTATGTTGTATCAGAATTCATCATTTTAGTTGATCTAGTTAACTAAAGAATCAAGCATGAAATCTATGACGACTACTTGTCCATATCTATTTGTTCATTAACATGAATTGATATATTATATTTATTATTTTATAGTTTATTATAGTATATTATATAGTTTATTATAGTATATTATACTTTTGTATTTTTATGTATAATTTATTCATACATGACATGTATGAAATCACTTGGGTTTGATACACTGCGAATATTTGCAAGATTGATGATACAGCATTAAACAATAATCACTCACTGACAGGGTCTGATGGCAGGTTTTCTAGTCTGTCACTGTTCAGAGCTGTCTAGGTAGCTTCGTTTGTGTTTCTGAATTATTAAATACACAAAATTAACGAAAGAAACCAAGCATGATTATTCCATATGTATGTTTTAGATCAAAATGATCAATTATTAATTGATTATGAATTGAATTTTCAAAATATGGTTCATGCAGCTTTGAAGTTTTAATAAGTTTGACTTCAGTTTGCTAGTCATGGCTTTGATAAGATAGAGCATAAATAGTTGTAACATTGTCTAAAACATATATCACTTCCACTCTCATTTGTGGGGCGCTGGGGTAGCCTAGTGGTAAAAGGGTTCACTCGCCATGCCGAGGACTGGGTTTGATTCCTCATATGGGTACAATGTGTGAAGCCCATTCCTGGTGTGCCCCGCCGTGATTTTGCCAGAATATTGCTGAAAGCAGCATAAAACCCTCCCTCCCTCCCTCACTCACTCTTAGTTTGTTCTCTGTGTCACAGGCCAGCACATCTACCTGACTGCCAGGATCGACGGACAGCTGGTCATCCGTCCGTACACCCCTGTGTCCAGTGATGATGACAAGGGATACATGGACCTCGTTATCAAGGTAGGACGTATTCATACACTAACCGTTGTCAGTACTTCACAAGTATTGTGTAGATTTCGTTCCTCCATCAAACGTGGGCTTTGTGATTTATATTGGCAGGTGAATCGTTTGAAATTAACAATCTCTGAAATATTTACAATGCACAGTAACATATGGTACCCATGAAGAATCGAGTTGGAACTGGTCTTCAGTAACCCATGCTTGTCATAAGAGGCTACTAACGGGATCAGATGGACAGGCTCGCTGACTTTGTTGACACATGATATCATATCTCCCGATTGTGTAGACCGATGCTCATGCTGTTGATCACTGGATTGTCTGGGAACTCAGGTCTGAATATGTATCAAGTACCTTCATTGTCATGAATTCCAACTAAATTTGTAGCTGAGGTGGCAGTTACCATTGTAATAGTGCTATCGCAGTGGGATTCTGGGTTGAAATTGACTTTGATCGTAACATCAATAACTGTTGGTTGAGTCACCATCATATGGCTTTGTGGACAATTTGGGGCTATTTAAATTAAGGGGTATTGCAATAGTAGTGAACAAACTTGACAATTAGATTAATCTAAGTATTAGAAGGGGCAGTTGGTACCGGTGGTTAAAGAACCAGTTCGATTTCCCACATTGGTACCATGTGTGAAGCCCATTTCTGGCTGTTCCGTTTCTGCGGTTTCACCCCGCCGCGACAGATAACAACTTTTTGTGTTTTCAATGATGATAGTTTCTTAAACAACTTTTTTGGTGGAGTCCGGAAAATTTTCAAATATAAGAAAGCTGTTGGGTATTAGTAAATGATAAACATGTGTACTATTTATATTTCAGTGGCAATTTTGTACAATGATCAAATTTGCAATTCATCAGTCCGTTTCTGTCTCAAACGGACTGTAGTAATGAACATGGTACAGATATTTTCCTCCCTTTTGCTGCCCAAACCCAAGGGAAGTAACTCTAAATCTGAAATTCCTGTAATTTCTTGCTAACCAGCTACACAGGCATGAAATTGGTCTTAATTTTCCCTAATCACAACTAATGAAACTGTCAGTCTTTATGCCCACTGTCAACAATACTACCTTTAAATACGGTCCTGTTATATGGTATGCTATGTTTGGTTGTCATTACTCTTATGTAATATATTGCTGTGTCTGACATTCAACAAGAAGCTGAGAGACCCAGACAGGTTTTGCTGTGTTTTGACCTTATGTTTTATGTAGAGGTCAGCTCTACAAAATGCACAACAGGTCAATCATTATAGGAAGGTTTAGATAAATAAAGACATTTACAACAAAATAATTATTTCGCCAACGTGACTGCCCGGCAGCAAGGATGCTTAGTTTGAGACTAAGGTTAATCCATGGTGTCTCCTACAGGTGTATTTCAAGAATGTCCACCCCAAGTTCCCCGAGGGAGGCAAGATGTCTCAGTACCTGGAGAAGATGGAAATTGGAGATTTCATTGATGTCCGTGGACCCAATGGTTTGCTTGTGTACGAGGGGAGAGGTGAGTAGAATGAAGAGCGATTGCATAAAAGAAAATGTTTGCGCTATTACTTTGATAATAATGTCATGTTTTATTTTTCAATTTATTTTTTTTGCATTCAACATCTATTAGAGGTACTCTTCCATATACAAGAAGCTAAATGCACCACACCCATGTTCTGCACCAAATATCACCTGTTTGAAAATATCTATGATCATTTAGCATCAGTCATCATGTTAAAAGGAGCAGCTCTAAATATTGAAAAACACGGCCATTTTTCTGATACTGAATGAATGTACATTTTAAAAGAAACATAAAAAACATACTCAGAAATCATCCAATCATAACTGCCAATTGCTCTGAAAGCTCTCTTAAAGAGCTGCTTGTTGAATCACTGGTTCTGATTTGGTGTAGCAGAACCCAAATGAAACCTGTGTCAGTGTTAGATGAAGAGAGACAACCCAGCTTAATGAAGATGACCTTTCATGAGAAAGAAAAGTAATGAGAATCATTGTTGCAGCAGCATGCCAGTTGTATCAAGTTCTCTGTGGTTCTGTTTAGGCTGTTACAAGATCCGTCCTGACAAGAAGTCCGAGTCGGAGACCAAGTTGGCCAAGAAGGTTGGGATGATTGCTGGTGGAACTGGTGAGTGATTAAATGGTGGACTTCTGGGCAAAGTCAGGATGTTGAAAGTTGTCAGGTCCCCAATGTTTAAGTAAAATAGTGTGTCCCAGATTCAACCATCATAAATATTCAGGCTAGAAATGACATTGATCACCCCATGCTTGAGGGGCGGTGAGGTAGCCTAGTGGTTAAAGCCTCCGCCCGTCACGCCGAAGACCCAGGTTCAATTCCCCACATGGGTACAATGGGTGAAGCCCATTTCTGGTGTCCCCCCGCCGTGATATTGCTAAAGTATTGCTCACTCATGTGTAAGAGGTGATGGACAGGGTCAAGCTGTCAGGTTCACTCATTTGGTTGGTACATGTCATCGTATTGCCCACCATGAGGCGCGGTGGGCGAGCTGGCTAAGGCGCCAGGCTAGTGATCTAGCGAGCATGAGGTGCTGGGATCGAGCCCACCCGTGACCGGTGGTAAAAACCGTGGAGTCCACTTTGTGTGCAGACTCTTTCAGTGTTGTCACAAACCCTAGTGTACAGTACACAATCCTGTGCACTTAAACGAACCCACGAATCTGTTGATAGATGACCAGATGGTGGCCGCATGAATACGTGCAAACACCTAGTTGCGGGTACAGCAACGTGCAGTAAAACTTGGACAAAGTACTGTGACTATGTGTCCCAGTCCACCCAGCTGTGAATGGGTACCTCGCCGTGAAGAACTCTTTTAGGATGGGAAATCCCCGGAAGAACTGATAAAAATACGTTGAGATTGACAGCCTTGAAACATACCAGCGCCTTGAACATACACTAGTGCGTGGATAAGTGCACTATATAAATATCCAGTGATAATAAATAAACGATAGTTTCCAAATTGTGTGGATTAATGGGGACGATGTCAATTATTGCCAGACTGCTGCAACAAAACGAAACTAAGCTCCACACACAACCCAAGAAGAGCAGCAATGTATTCCCTCCATCTTGCCATTACAAAGACAGTTACATTGAAGCGATCAGACTTGTAAACTGTATTCCCAACCAACTTTCATTTCATGTATAGGCCAGTGTATGACTGTAATATTTCTTAACAACCTATTCTGTAGAATTTTGGACTGTGTAGATTGTGTATGAATCTGGTGTGATCCGTCCTTGTGACCCCTTTCTACAGAAAGCTTTTTGTGGTCCTCAAAATTTGGTTAATCTACATTCATATATGGTAGGCCAGTTCATGCCTGTAATATTAAGGGGCAGTGGGGTAGCCTAGTGGTTAAAGCATTGGCTGTCACGCCGAAGACCCGGGTTCGATTCCCCACATGGGTACAATGTTTGAAGCCCATTTCTGGTGTCCCCCGCCATGATATTGCTGGAATATTGCTAAAAGCGGCATAAAACTAGACTCAGTCAGTCAGTCAGTCATCCTTGTGACCCCTTTCAACAGAAAGCTTTTTTTGGTCCTCAAAATTTGGTTAATCTACATTCATATATGGCAGGCCAGTTCATGCCTGTAATATTACTGAACAACCTATTCTGTAATGTTGTATGTGTGTTTTTGACTCAGCTGTGACTCAATGACTTCCTACTCAGGTATTACCCCGATGCTGCAGTTGGTCCGCCAGTCCCTCAAGGACCCAGATGACACCACGGAGATGTGGCTGCTGTTTGCCAACCAGGTCAGATTCTCTGCCTTGTCATGACAAAAAGGTTAAAGGAAGTTGTTGTACAATGATTTGTTCGGCCTCAGATAGAACTGCTGTTTGCCAAACCATGGCTATGTTCCACAAAGTGATCTTTGTGCTTTGAGCTTCATGGAATAGCAGGGGCGGACCCATGATTTTGGAGAAGGGGGTGTACATATATCATGAAGTCCAAAGGTTAGGGGTAACCTGCTCCTCAGGGAATTTTTTTTTCAAGGGGAGAAGGGGTGTGTGCAACCCCCCCATCCCCCCCACACACATATATGCAAGGGCTGTTCAATAAGTAATGGCAACAAGAATGTAAAAACATACTGCATTAACATACAAAGTTGAGATTTTCACATTCCTTCGAAGTACTCCCCTACTCTCTCTATGCATAATTTGAGGCGGTCGAGCCACTTATTAAAGGCATTATGGTAATCGTCTTTTGGTATGTCTTTGAGTTCTGAAATCACGGCTTTTGAAAGGTCTTGTATCTGTGAAAATTTCCTGCCAGCCAGTCGTTCTTTCAATATTGGGAAGAACCAGAAGTCACACGGTGCTAGGTCGGGACTATATAGGGGATGAGGCACAAGGGTCATTCCTTGGCTGTCTATATACTCCGTAACAGCCTTTTTCTTGTGGGGACTCGCATTGTCATGGTGGAGCAGGTCGCGACTTGTTCCCGTCTCAGGTCACTACTTTTCCAAACCGCCTTCGTGGTGTAGTGGTTAGAGCGTCCGCCCGGAGAGCAGAAGGGCGCGGGTTCGATCCACGACCACGTCATACCAAAAGACGTTAAAATAGGGTACTTGTTGGTCCCTGCCTGGCGCTCGGCATTAATGGGTACAACAAGGACTGGTCGGCTCGGAGTCAGTATAATGTGTCTGAATGGGGTATTCATGCTTCACTGCGGCATGGTATCTCAGTGGGCTAGCACTATAAAACCAGCTTCAGTCTGGGCTAGTACAAGCAGCTGCACATACACATACACACGCATGCACGTCGTCGTCATATGAGCGAAATATTCTCAAGCACGACGTTAAACCCAATTTCACCTCACCTCACTACTTTTCCACAGCTTCAACCATCTTAGGGAGGACAGTGTTGCAGTAGTAAACTAAATGTGCAGGGGTTATATTTGATATATAGATATGATAATGGTGTTGCCATTACTTGTTGAACAGCCCTCTAACATATACATATACATATACACTCCTGAATTGTGTCTAGGTATGTGCATGTATTTTTCCAGATATTATCTAAGAAGCAGTTGTTTTACAGAGTTACATCCCTTTGTTACCAGGATCCTGTAATTGTCAGTGTAACACTAGATTGTACCTGGTTATTATTCTTGGTTTGACCTGGTTTGTCAATCCTTGACCTGTACTTATGCTTATCACCAGAGGGGTGAATAATCCGCATAGCTCAAGGCTGCAGTGATATAATGAAAATTCTGTTATAAAGGGGAATCAAAGCATTCTTACTTGGCAAATGTTTTCCCGACATGTACATAGACTCCCCTGTTTTCACAGACTGAAGACGATATACTGCTGCGTCCCGAACTGGAGGAGATCCAGAACAAGTATCCCAGCAGATTCCATCTGTGGTACACCCTGGACAGGCCCAAGGAGGGGTATTCCCAACCAACTTTCATTTCATGTATAGGCCAGTGTATGACTGTAATATTTTCTTAACAACCTATTCTGTAGAATTTTGGACTGTGTAGATTGTGTATGAATCTGGTGTGATTCATCCTTGTGACCCCTTTGTACAGAAAGCTTTTTGTGGTCCTCAAAATTTGGTTAATCTACATTCATAAATGGTAGGCCAGTTCACGCCTGTAATATTAAGGGGCAGTGGGGTAGCCTAGTGGTTAAAGCATTGGCTGTCACGCCGAAGACCCGGGTTCGATTCCCCACATGGGTACAATGTTTGAAGCCCATTTCTGGTGTCCCCTGCCGTGATATTGGTGGAATATTGCTAAAAGTGGCGTAAAACTAGACTCAGTCAGTCAGTCATCCTTGTGACCCCTTGTGACCCCAAGCTTTTTTGGGTCCTCAAAATTTGGTTAATCTACATTCATAATATATGGCAGGCCAGTTCATGCCTGTAAAATTGTATTCTGTTATGTTGTATGTGTGTGTTTGACTCTGTTGTGACTCAATGACTTCCCACTCAGGTATTACCCCGATGCTGCAGTTGGTGCGCCAGTCCCTCAAGGACCCGGATGACACCACGGAGATGTGGCTGCTGTTTGCCAACCAGGTCAGATTCTCTGCCTTGTCATGAGAAAAAGGTTAAAAGGAAGTTGTTGTACAATGATTTGTTCGGCCTCAGATAGAACTGCTGTTTGCCAAACCATGGCTATTTACCACAAAGCTATCTTTGTGCTCTGAGCTTCATGGAATAGCAGGGGCGGACCCATGATGTTGGAGAAGGGGGGTGTACATATATATATCATGAAGTCCAAAGGTTAGGGATAACCTGCTCCTCAGGGAATTTTTTTTTTCAAGGGGAGAAGGGGTGTGTGCAACCCCCCCATTCCCCCCACACATATATACGAGGGCTGTTCAATAAGTAATGGCAACAAGAGTGTTAAAACATACTGCATTAACATACAAAGTTGAGATTTTCACATTCCTTGAAGTACTCCCCTACTCTCTCTATGCATGCAATTTGAGGTGCAATTTGGTCAGCCACTTATTAAAGGCATTATGGTAATCGTCTTTTTGGTATGTCTTTGAGTTCTGAAATCATGGCTTTTGAAAGGTCTTGTATCTGTGAAAATTTCCTGCCAGCCAGTCGTTCTTTCAATATTGGGAAGAACCAGAAGTCAAGACGGTGCTAAGGACTATATGAGGGATGAGGCGTCGGCACAAGGGTCATTCCTTGGCTGTCTATATACTCCGTAACAGTATATTGTGGTGGAGCTGACTTGTTCCCGGGTCACTACTTCACATTTTTCCAAACCGCCGCGAGGTGTAGTGGTTTCAAGCGTCCGCCCGGAGAGCAGAAGAGCGGGTTAGATCCGCGACCACGTCATACCAAAAGACGGCGTTAAAATAGGGAATGTACTTGTTGGTCCCTGGGCTGGCATTAATGGGTACAACAAGGACTAAAACCGGCTCGGAGTCTGGGCTATGTCTGAATGGGGTATTCACTGCGGCATGGTATCTCAGTGGGCTAGCTTGCTATAAAACCAGCTACAAGTACAAGCAACTGCACATACACATGCACATGCCGTCCAATTGAGTCATATGAAGAAATATTCTCAAACTACTCGGCGTTAAACCCAATTTCACCTCACCTCACTACTTTTCCACAGCTTCAACCATCTTAGGGAGGACAGTGTTGCAGTAGTAAACTAAATGTGCAGGGGTTATATTTGATATATAGATATGATAATGGTGTTGCCATTACTTGTTAACAGCCCTCTCCTCATATACATATACATATACACACCCTGAATTGTGTCTAGGTATGTGCATGTATTTTTCCAGATATTATCTAAGAAGCAGTTGTTTTACAGAGTTACATCCCTTTGTTACCAGGATCCTGTAATTGTCAGTGTAACACTAGATTGTACCTGGTTATTATTCTTGGTTTGTCAATCCTTGACCTGTACTTATGCTTATCACCAGAGGGGTGAATAATCTGCATAGCTCAAGGCTGCAGTGATGTAATGAAAATTCTGTTATAAAGGGGAATCAAAGCATTCTTACTTGGCAAATGTTTTCCCGACATGTACATAGACTCCCCTGTTTTCACAGACTGAAGACGATATACTGCTGCGTCCCGAACTGGAGGAGATCCAGAACAAGTATCCCAGCAGATTCCATCTGTGGTACACCCTGGACAGGCCCAAGGAGGGTGAGTGGTAACTTGTGTCTAGCACTGGTAATAAGAAATAGTGTGACCATTGTACAGATAAAACATAAAACACAGGTTTTTTCCTTATCCTGACTCATGATCTTTTGCTTATCTCCCTTTCCCTTTCAAATGGTAGTGGAACACTTGAATCCCTGTAGTTCCCGAAGCGGACATATAAATATACGGAAAATAAGGAGAGAGTGACAAGTATGGGCACGTCACATGATATGGTTTGCGTGGGAAAGGGCAAGGGAGGTAACTCGTGGGTGAGTGTATTTATCGTCCTTTGGGAACCTCAAGGGATTCAAGTGTTCCACTACCATTCGAAGGGAAAGGAGACAAGCAATAAGCATGAGTCAGGATAGTATAAGTATTAATTATACTCTAAAAATTTCATTTTTACTCAGAAATTTACATGCTTAATTGTGATTGTACCAAAAATATATTGTCTGTTAACTGTTATTGAAAAGAGGCGCAGTCAATTGCATTACTGAGGACTGTTTGTGTAACATTTTCAAGCCTTTCTTCTGTACACTACTTTGAGGAAAATGATTACGTGACAGATTAACTTTTCTAATTTAATGATTTGGAAGAATTGGGTTGTCCTTTCCCTTTTTTGTGGTATATACGTTTCACTATGTATTTGCTTGATTACCTGGCAGTTATCTTAAGAGAGTGTGATGCTGAACCTGGTGTGTGGTTATGGCCTCTGTCATGTGATCATCGTATCGCATACTCTTCCTTCATTATTGTTAATGATTATTATCAGCAAACCGATGTAGGACAAGTAATTTGAGGGAAAGTCTCACTTGGCTTGTCTTGGTCATTGAAACTGATTAGCTTTGAGTCTATAAACATAATGGTGCATGTATGATACTACTGTTAGTTTACTGATATACCAAACAAAGAAGAAATAGCAAAGTAAATAGACATTTGTTTTCTTCCTGGTGACAGCTTGTCACTTAGAGGTCCTGGTTACTTTGGCTAAGATATAAACACAGTATTCACTCTTCGGAAAACAAATCCGAATTTTTGTCATCGTTTCTTCTAATTATTTCATCAGACTCTGATATTTGGATAAAATCTGTAGACCCAGAAATAGAAACATTCTGAACTTCTTCCTTGTTTTGGGGCAGTGGGGTAGCCTTCTGATTAAAGCGTTTTTGTGAAGGCCATTTACTAAATGGGCTCAAATGATACTCACTCACTCTTCTTTGTTTCAGGATGGAGCTACAGCAAGGGCTTTGTAAGTGATGAGATGATCAAGAAGCACCTGCCCCCACCCAGTGAGGAAACCCTTGTCCTCATGTGTGGCCCCCCACCCATGATCAACTTTGCCTGCCTCCCTAATTTAGACAAGCTCAGCTACGCAACCAACATGAGATTCGCCTACTGAGATGCTACAACCACCCAAGTCTTTCATATGCCCAGCTGGAAAATCAGTCTGACGTCCATGGGAAAAGAGAGGTCATGGTGGAAATAAACACATCGCCTGTGTGCACTGCCGATTTAATTTTATCAAATTTGCAGATTTAATAGTTTATGATTTATTTTTTTAGAATTCAGCCTCAAGCATATTTAAAGAAAAGATACACATGCTTTTTATATTATTTTTTCTTAAAAAATACTCATGCTGCAGTATTAGTGTTGCAACATCTGATGCAGATGAGTTCGTCTCAGATTAATGTGTGTTGGGCTTTCCACCGTCTTCCCATCAAGATCAGCGGTAGACACATATCGAACTTGTCAGCAGGTCATGTCGGACCAGATTTTGGGAGAAAATGACATCCCTCTAAATTTTCAATAGTCTCGAACTAATTGACTGGTGGCTGTGTCTACCTCTGAAGATGATGCACATGTCTTCTGGCACCCATCCTGAAGGAGCTCCAGCAGGACATCCAGGAGGAGATCCAGATGGACCCCTATTGCTGACTTCTCTCCTTCATCTGTCTTCCCCATATTTGGTCTGTACAGACATGTAATCTAGAATAATCAATTTGTGTTGAACGCATAGTAGGCAACTCTCTTTTGTCAGTGTATATTTGAATTTTGTAGAAGATGACAGATTTTTACTACAGGGAATTTGTCTTTTCTTCTGGACAATAAGTTTATGAAATGGCAATAATCCAGCATTATGTTCAATATCTGTCAGGTGTTTCTTTTATTTTCTATCCAAGTTGGTGATTAAAGAGAGCAGACGTGCTGTGTGTCTAACACTGAGACCTTATTGGAAGCATTTCTGTGAACACTTGTAGAAACTATTTTGTCCTTGATACTTTGTTGTGTGCTTGTAACCAGGATGAATGTTCTTTGAAGCATTCCAAACATCATCCGTCCTCAGGGCATGTCAACCACAATCAGTGGGAAAGGAAACAGCATAATCACTGTGACCTTCACCTAAGTCTGTCCCAGTTTCAGAGTCCTCTCTCCAGAGGGCCTGAAAGTGGCAAGATAGCAATGTCTCTGTGAAGGTGGTTTGCAGCAGTAGTGCTGAGCTTATTACCAGAGATTTACGAGAGTCTTGGCTCTACAGCTGTTACAACATACACTGAGATATGAGGCCTTGTAATGTAGTGAGGGGCGGTGGGATAGCCTAGTGGTTAAAGCGTTCACTCATCACACCGAAGACCTGGGTTCAATTCCCCACATGGGTACAATATATGGAGCCCATTTCTGGTGTCGTCCCATGCCGTGATATTGCTGGAATATTGCTAAGAGCGGCGTAAGACTAAACTCACTCACTGTATATTATGTAGTGCCTGACAATTTGATGTTGGGGAAATTGTTGGTATTTCTTTATTTTTAAAAAGTATAATTTTGCCTCAGGTTTTACACACAAATTATAACTGTTTGCTGGACATGCCGGTTATCCTGAAAAATGAAGTGTTCTGTAAAATAAGGAGAATTGTCTCCCCTTTGAGAGGAAAGGATTTGATGACTTAACAAAGTCTTTGAAAAAAATATTCTTTTTTGAAACATTCCCCTCCCCTTTTCATCTCTTCCCCTCCCCGATGAGCTGGTCAGCCCTTTAACACGGACAGATGATGTTTGGATGTGGACGTAGACGTAGCAGGACTGTGTGTGCGTGTGGCCATAACTGCCATTAGTTTTCTTGTATACTCGGAGAGTATTTGTGTTTATACCCAATCAGTGAGTAAAGTGATATTCCCAAAAGTGCTATAAACATGTTATCAGGCATTGTGACGATATTGTATGAATCTGTAATACCTGTCACTCAGGATATACTGGAACAGCAAAGTGGGGCTACAACAATGGCTGGTATCAATACAACTAGTTGACGTCAGATATTACAGAATGTTAACTGAATTATGTTATACATTCACTTGTTTGCTGCTTGTTTTTGAGGGTATGGTATAAGTTTCAATTTGTCAGAGTTTTGCATTATCGGTATAATATATGTTATTTCTTTATTAGAATTTTCTATTAGCTAATGTAATCTTTTGCATTTTTCATAACCAGTTACTCTTTGATACATCTGAATAATATTATTTAGATCTTTTTTTAAAAAAATACCTTATACATATGCAACATTTTATCAGCCTTTCATTTTGTTTCTCATATGGAATCAAGGATGCTGAATGTTTCCTTGTAAACAAAATGAAGGGATTAATGTGTAGAATATATTTGGATAAATTCCTGTTATATGATACAAAATAATATAAATGTTACACATGCTAAGAAGTGTCATCCATGATAACAGTTGTTATCAAAGAGTATCTGTGCACACATGTATCTAAAGCCTGCATTGGCACAATTCAGAGCTTAAAGGAGAAGACTGCAGAATAAATATCCTGTACACATGTAACAGTGCTGTAATATTTGTTGAAGCCATGCAATATTATGTAAAATGTGTAACAGTTCAAAGATAATTGATGGCTGAAATCTGCTTGAGAGCCATGTTGGTGAGCCTGAAGTCTTGTGGAAAAGAAATAAAATTCTGTTATCTTTTCATTTGTGAAGTTTCGATTGTTATTTTTTATGGAAGGCTACGGTGGTCCAAGCCTCATTTTTTATGGAAGGCTACGGTGGTCCAAGCCTCATTTTTTATGGAAGGCTAAGGTGGTCCAAGCCTCTATTTTCATACCAAAAGACATTACAAGATGGTGGTATCTGTTTTCCTGATGCTGGGCACGCGCGCACGGACACACACACACTTCATGTTAATGCCTGGTATATCAGTAGACTCTTGTACAATAACAACTGCATTAGTCTGGACTGGGACAAGCAGCCACAAAGTTCCACATTCATCCCGATGTTAACATTATTAGGTAGCGCATATATTATGGTTGAATGAGAACCACCAGTAAAAACAAGGCGTTTCCTTGCTGTCATACTGACATCTACTGTGTTTTAGACCTCCAGTTTGGCCAGTCTTTTGAGCTCTTATATTGTGAGATGGGCTTTAACACGGTATTCTAGGTTACTGAAAATATTGCACATGCACATGCAGAGATGCCAACCCAAAAGTGTTGCAAATAGTAGTTTCAAGGATCGAACTTAGTAGTTTGACCATAAAATTAGTAGTCAACTAATACTTAAAATCATGATGGATTCTGAGAAAGATAACATTACACTAATCCAGAGTGAAGCTATAATTTCACATACCTCCAGCTGCAGATTTCCATTACTATTCTTGTCTCTTTTTGGTGAAAATATGTTTTTTGGTCTACATGTATATCCAAATTTTAATGAACTTTCTTCAAATTTCGTAGAATTTTTAGTGCAATCGTATTGGCGTAGTTTGAGGCTAAAATTCGTAGTGACTACGATAAAATCGTAGAGGTTGGCATCTCTGCACACATACCAGTTCCGACATGCTCGTTTCATAGTGCTAGCCCACTGAAGTACTATGCCACACCAACATATGTACAGACTTCAAGTGACCGCCTCCGTGGTGTAGTGGTTAGAGGGTCTGCCCGGAGTGCGGAAGGTCGCGGGTTCGATCCCCGACTGTGTCATACCAAAAGACGTTAAAATATGGTACTTGTTGGTCCCTGCCTGGCGCTCGGCATTAATGGGTACAACAAGGACTGGTCGGCTCGGAGTCAGTATAATGTGTCTGAGTGGGGTATTCATGCTTCACTGTGGCATGGTATCTCAGTGGGCTAGCACTATAAAACCAGCTTCAGTCTGGGCTAGTACAAGCAGACGCCACATACACATACACACGCATGCACGTCGTCATATGAGCGAAATATTCTCAAGCATGACGTTAAACCCAATTCCACCACCACCACAGACTTCAAGCCGACAATAGGAGATGGTGGGGTAGTCTTGGGGTTAAAGCGTTCGCTTGTCATGCTGAAGACCCTGGCGTGAATCCCATTTCTGGTGTCCTCTGCTGTGATATTGCTGGAATATTGCTAAAAGTGGCGTAAAACTTACCGGTAACTCGCTCACTCCAGCTGTCAAGTCCTTGCTTTTGTCTCCTGAATGCCAAATACCAGGAAGGGTAAAAAGTACCAACTTTTGGTGCGAGGCGAGTGGTAATCAAACACTCAACCTGCTTCTCTGGGCAGTGCCTATCCTCTACACCACAAAGATGGTCCACTATACCACACTCACTAACTCATTTATACAACAATAACAAGACGTGTTCATACATAAATATCGCTCATTTAATATCACTCCACATGTACACATTTGAATAAATATATTTACATTTGTTCGCCATATACAGTCATGCACATATATATATTTATATGACACTTTACAAATATGTATGATATGTATGGATCAACTCTTCCTTGAGCTTGTCCTCTGTGATACAACTTAGTTCTGATAACCTGCTACATGTTGTACAGTTTTGATACTATGCTGAAATGAAAATAATTATAAATAATTAGAATGGTTAAAGCTCTTCATAATCCCCACAAGAGCTATGGATGTTGCTGAGTAAAAGAGGAGTCAGCCAGTTTGTTTGAGAGTAAATTGTTTAAAAACTAACATTTTGGAATTTCCTCAAATCACTTTTTTTCACCACAACTTGAAGAATACTAAACATTTAAAGTTGATGAGTGATCTGGAAAACAATAAGCAAATGCCAAGCTATGCATTGACAAACTCTATGGAATGAATATGTTTTGGGATGGCAACTTATTAATGAAGTACAAATTCCAGTACTTTTTGGGTTGAGTCCCATCTGGTATTCTCAGAGTAAAGCACCTACCGGTAATCACCAGCACACAAACTCTGCAATCTAACATATCCAGCAACTGGGGTTTCCATAAAAATTGAAGTCTTAATCAAATACTTTGTGTAATTCCACATTAGACCCTCCAAAAAGCAGTAGCAGCACATAGTAATATATCCTAATATACCAGATAGAAATAGTAGTAAAAGAAGGCGCTAGATACTAGTCATGACAGTGCATAATGTAATATTTGTAACAAATTATCTAGGGTCCAGTGAGAACTAAAATTTAAATAAAATATATATTTTTAGAATTTTAGCCCTTATATTGTTTTCCAAGCAAAAATGAGATAGCTACCTGTTGATGATGCCCAGTTGTTCATACTTAAAATAAGGCAACACAAACTCAGCCTGACACGTCACAAAATGACGAGATATACTTGACACAATACACAAACCCTACTCCCTGAGGAAGTATATACAACCATTATCTTTCATGTTAAATGAATAGCCTGCATCATATCTTGCTTTTGATACACAATTATTCAAAGAAGAAAAAAAGAAAGAAAACTTTCCACAAAGTTTGTATTTTATAGCTGAGGTACTGAGCTTTAACACAACTTGTTCTCACCATATCAGTGTTCTTGGGTCGGTAGTTTTAAGGTGAGGTGAGATGAGTTGACAATCGTTTAAACTATCACGACCCAACATATATGGTATATTTACAATTTGTAAAGGTATTATCACATATATCGCTAACAGTCTAAGGCCCTGTTTTAACCTGTGAGATCTCCTGACACCCTGTCTTTTCCTTCTCTTCACACAACTCCTGATTCACAATCTTCACACAGACAATTTCAGTATCTAGCACTGGCCTGGAATCCTTGCCTAATGGGCACTGGAGGAGGTCAGTTGACCTCTATTTAGTCACTGGAGGTCAGTTGATCTCCATGAGGGCACTGGAGGTCAGCTGACTTCCATGTGGGCACTGGAGGTCAGCACTTAGGATCTCCATGAGGGCACTGGAGGTCAGTTGACTTCCATAGTCACTGGAGGCACTGAGGGAGAGGTCAGTTGACTTCTTGAGGGCACTGGACTGACTTCTACGTGGGCACTGTAGGAGGTCAGTTGACCATGTGCACACTGGAGGAGCTCAGTTGACCTCTGTGTGTCTCTCCTCTGTCATTGTAGCCACTGGAAAGTTCAGCTGACCCTTTGTTCATCTCTCTGTTGATTTCCATTCTAACAACTTATCAGAGGGCACAGGATGAGATCAACTGACCTTCCATCTCTCATGAGTACAGATGACCTTCTGTTTATGTCTCCTCTGACATTCTTGGTTGTCAGTGACCTGTCAAAGGCCACACAATGTTCAGCTGACCTGACATCTGCGTCTCATCTGTCATTGACAATTGACACTGGATGGGGTCAGATGACACTCTGTTCATATTTCCATTGATTCCCTCAGTAACAGGGCACTGGAATGGTCAATGGACTTGATTATTTAAGGTGACCTGTTCATCTGAACATTCCTCAATGGTCAGTCACTGGGCACTTGATTACATCAGTTGACCTTCCGTCTGTCTCTCCTCTCACATCTTGGACACTGACCTCGTTTGTCAAAACAGTGTCTGAAACAAGAACTTCCTTACTCAGTCTCCATCCATCTAACTGTCTCATGAAAATATTATTTCCTGTATTTTAATGAAATTCACATAAAGGATTACTGTATCAGCATTGTCATCACAATACATGACCATGTCATCACAATACATGACCATGTCATCACAATACATGACCATGTCATCACATTAGATGTCATCACAATACATGACCATGTCATCACAATACATGACCATGTCATCACAATACATGACCATGTCATCACAATACATGGTTTAACATCACAATGCTTGAGACCATTTCATCACATTATGACAATGTCATGCTATGTATGTGTATGTCATGGCTGCTTGTACTAGCCCAGACTGACCATGGTTTTATAGTGCATGACCATGAGATACCATACGCAGTGAAGCATGAATATCAGTCATCATTATACTGACTCATGTCACCAGTCCTTGTTGTATCCCATTACATGCCTCATCGCCAGGCAGGGACCAACAAGTACCACCATTTATCGCCTTTTGGTATGACGTCATCGGGATCAACCGGGATCCTTCATATGACCTGACCATGTCACTACATCACGGACCATGTCACATCACCATGTCATCACAATACATGACCATGTCATCACAATACATGACCATGTCATCACATTATATGACATTTACTTATGTATGACATTAAACTTGCTGTGTATGACATTACAATCCTAATATGTGACCTTCACCCTCATATGACATGACATATACCTGTTCTAGACATGCCATTAACCTGTGTAACCAATGACATTTAGCTGTCAATGACATTTTACTTTTGAATTGCAAGACATTTATCTGAGTTTGACATGACATTTTACTTTGTGTGACATGACATTTATCTTTGTGTTACATGACACTCCCTGTATGACAAAACATGTATTGTGTATTAGGTTACATAAACACATACCTGTGTATGACATTGGAGCACTGTGAACACACCACAGCGATGTTATCAAATGGAAACAGCACCTCCTTCTCCTCACACATCTCACAGAAGAAGCCTCGAGCCTGGCACAGCTGGGGACACAACAACATGTTTTAACACTTTATAATCCAACTTTGCATAAACAGGCTTATAAGTCATTAAAGCAAAACATTATAGTGAATTTGTTGCAAATGTTCCTTTTCCTAGATACAAGTTACTTACCAAGAGAAAAGCATTCCTTACATTCGAGAAAGTGTATACATATCCATGAAGATTGAGGACATCACATACCCCTTAATTTGATTCCACAACAAAACTGTATGGGTGTGTGGTTTAAAATTACCAGCTCAATGGTGCCGCAGTGTGTCACAAATGATTTCATTGGTTGATATGAAGACTTGGTTGTGATGTATATCTAAGATACCATCTATCTCGTGATGCTTAGGGGCTGTATGGATATGTCAGAAAGTGGTCAATCGAGATAAAATCCAAAAGTGTTGTATTTCTATCAATCCTGCTCAAATGACTTTGGATGCATTGTTGAGTGTGTCAAATGACCTTTGCTCTTGAAATTATCAATAATCAAAATAATAATTAATGTCTACAGTTCAGACAGATGATCTATCCGTATGTCCACAAATCTTACCTCACAGTCTGTCTTGATGTGCTGTGCCCATGCCGAGTGGATCTGTGCCAGTTCAGACAGCAGCGTGCATGTCTGTATGTCAACGGATCTTACCTCACAGTCTGTCTTGATGTGCTGTGCCCATGCCGAATGGATCTGTGCCAGTTCAGACAGCAGCGCGTATCTGTCTGTATGTCCATCAGATCCTTCATGCTGTAGATGTCGGAACTCTCCACAAAGTGCTGCCGAGCCTGCAGCAGCAGCAACAGCTTGGTCTTCATGGCACTGGGACACAGCAAGATGTACTTCTTCATCACCAGCATCTCCTCTCGCAGCTTCTGTAACGTCAGAAACAGGATCTTGATGAGAATCACGAAGCAATGAGGCTCACCTCACTTTTATTCCAGCCTTGATTGCAGATTTTGAGATGACATTCATCATCCATGTGCTTTCAATGATGTAGAAGTTTATTCTGGACAACCTTCTCTTAAAAAAGAGCAAAGGGTAAGAGAATAACTTCTATTATAGCTGTGATAGCAGTTTTAGAGATGACTTTCAAAGTATCATCATCATTGTGGAAGTCGAAGTTCATGACATACAATTTCACTTACAAAGCGAAAAGGACTGACTGAGTTTTGGTTTTACGCCGCTTTTAGCAATATTCCAGCAACATCACGGCAGGGGACACCAGAAATGGGCTTCACACATTGTACCCATGTGGGGATTCGAACCCGGGTCCTCGGCGTGACGAGCAAACACTTTAACCACTAGGCTACCCCACCGCCCCACAAAGCGAAAAGGAAAGGAGAATGACTTATATAACGTTTTATTTTCCAGAGATAATCCTGTAATGCTTAGAGCTTAGTTGGGGGTGATTATAGAAATAACTAGCAGTTTTGTGTAGAATGTGTTCAGAGAGCACCTTGTTAGTGAGGTGCTTAATTTGATGAATATGGTCTTCAAACATTACAGATCAGGTATGGTATGCAGTTTATGACTGAGTGTGATGATTAAATGGGTTGTCAGTTATATTACAGTATTACAGGATGTAATACAACACATCTTTATGTGATAGTAATGCCGAAGACCCGTGAAGGTCCGGGTTAGAATGAACCTTCAGTAACCCATGCTTGTCGTTTATTTACAGACCGCGTCATATAGCTGGAATATTGCTGAGTGTGGCGTAAAACTAAACTCACTCACTAACAAGTAAAGTCGAAAGTTGTGATGGAATAGGAATGGGGTGACAAACCATGACTATAATCATGGCAAATCTGGGATTCAAACACCCAATCCCTGGATCCTGACACATCAAAGGGATGTAATTCTGCACAGGAAACATGGTGCCTAAGGTTAATGAGGGATCAAACTTAATGATACTGGTCTGCAGAGGACACATGAATCATCCCTTTACGTCCATCCTACCTTGATTTCACTAAGCTCCTCCACGAAGTTGAACAGCATGGGATTGATGTCCTGGATTCGGATCACAGCCTTGCTGGTCATCAGCTTCAGGTACTGCTTGGACGCCCGACACACCTGTAGTGACCAAACACACACTGTCAGGTGAGAGCTCACTGTCAGGTGTGTACTAACACATCACACATTGCGTGACCACAAACACATTGTCAGGTGAGGTGAAATTGGGTTTAACGTCGTGCTTGAGAATATTTCGCTCATATGACAACGTGCATGCGTGTGTATGTGTATGTGCGGCTGCTTGTACTAGCCCAGACTTAAGCTGGTTTTATAGTGCTAGCCCACTGAGATACCATGCCGCAGTGAAGCATGAATACCCCACTCAGACTCATTATACTGACTCCGAGCCGACCAGTCATTGTTGTACCCATTAATGCCGAGAGCCAGGCAGGGACCAACAAGTACTATATTTTAACTTTTGGTATGTTCGAACCGCGACCTTGCCTCTCGGGCGGACTTCTTACACCACGGAGGCGGTTCACAAACACATTGTCAGGTGAGAGCTCACAAATGATGTGATATTAACGAGCTTTCACTGAGTAACCACTGTACCCACTGAGACTGTTTTGTTTTTAATCTTTATGAAAGGTAGCAGTTCTGATTGTCTGAGAAGCATTAAAACTGGAGACCACTTCTCATTGAATTCTCACCTGGCAAAACAAGATTTGTAGAATCTTCTATACTTGGTTTGAAGATGGAAAACTATGAATTTCTACGTAACATGTAGTAGAACTGACCTTGCGAGGCATGAAGTCCCAGTTGTGTAGCACCCTGGCAGGTACAGGCATCTGGTCGTTCCAGTGACAGAGCTCACAGAAGTAGTTGCCGCTGTAGTCGCACAACCGAGGCTCAGCTCCTCCGGACTCTGGAACACCAACATTGTTAACATGACTGAGTGAGTGAGTTTTACGCCGCTTTTAACAATTTTCCAGCAATATCACAGCAGGGGACACCAGAAATGGGCTTCACACATTGTACCCATGTGGGGAATCGAACCTGGGTCACCCCATTGCCTGTTAACATGACTACAGTGTTATTGGGTGAACAAATTTGACCTGGGAAAGTTTCTTGAGTTTAACAGATGTAATTTGTGATAATTCTTTATGATTTATAAATATCAAAATAAATCTTACAACGAATCTCTCCTACAGGCATGGACGGTGATACCCCAAATTGGAAACAATCCCATAAAAATTGGGATCAAACTTTGCACAGCACTTCTCCTTTAGTCAAAGAAGCTGTTTTCCAAATTTGAAAATATTTTGACCAATTCTTTTCTAGTTATCGTCTGAACAACTTCAAATCTTTAAATTGTTGTAATTTTTGAAAAAATTGAAATATCATAATCAAAATTTGCACTGCACTTCTCCTTTAGGGCCTAGTCACACTTCTGCGTATCCTAACTCCTTATGAGTTGCACATTGACATTTCTTTCATACACAGTCGTATGCACAATACGCACCTCATATGCATCTCAATCGTTTTGTGTACGTTTTATGCATGCCAGCATGCGCACAGTATGGCCCAGTATGCCTGATAGTTTTGGGCATGCACAAAACTATGCTGCATACGCTGTTACACAGGCCATAAGTTATAAATATGCAGTGCATCGGTCCTGCATTGGTCGAGCGCAGTACAAGTCTGTCACGTGTTCATGGGGGATAAATGCAGCAATACGCTGATCTCCCGGCACAAGCTACAAGCCACGTATATTGGATGTATACATAGCGTACTTGCACCGCAGATACAAACGCACGCTGAATGAACCTAGTGAATGCTGACGTATTGTCCTGCAATCGGGCAGCGCAATGTACTTCTTTGTAACTTATGACAAACACACAGATAGCGTACAGATAGCGTACTTGCCGAACATCCAGGGTACACTCAAGATTTGTTATAAATATGCTGTGTATTGAAATTCTTTTATAAGGAACTCATAGGCACTTGATATAGACAAACGTGTGACAGGTTTTAGACAAAGACGGTGGTTACAATTTGTTTAAAACTATCCAACTAATAGCTTTCAAGTTATTGGTTGAACAAAAATGTCTTCAGAGATGAACAGACAGAATTGCTTGGCATAACTATTTAGCACTGATCTTTTAGGTTAATGATATAACAAGATGACTTATTAAATTACAAAAATCGCTCTACCCAACTAAAAAACACCAATAGAGTAAAATATATTGAGTGAGTATATTCCAATATTTCACTGGCGGGTCAACTAAAACAATCCAATCAACAGCATGAGCATCGAAGGTGAATGATAGTCAGTGAAACTGAGTAAATACTCAATTTCCCAGACTATTGATGCAAGGCAACTGTGAAGGTTACTGAGTGAGTGTTTTATGTCGCACTCAACAATATTCCAGCTACATATTCCCGTAGATGGTGCTGGTCTGTAAATAATCCAGTCATCAACAGCATGAGCATCAATCTACGCAACTGGGATACGATGACGTGTGTCAACCAAGTTGCTGAAGATCACTTCTAACCCTGATATCTTACTGAAGGACAGTGGAGACTTGCACTCTGCACATCTGTAGTTCTGTGATGCCAGACCCTTCTGGGGACAGATGGACAGACAGTAGGAGGGGTTCTCAAGCACCTGCAACAACAGAAACAGTCTTCAAAATTCATAGAAAACCAGGAAGGACCCTGAAATCCAATTCATATTTCTTTCTTCCTCTTGGTAAGAAGAAAACTCAAACTTGTTCACATGGAGCCAAAATTACTGCAAGAGAAGATAACAGTTCAATTGCATCTTGAAATTAACCAATGGATATAAAGCATAACTCCCTTTCCTTAACATAGACTTAAGGTAGTCTTAACGCTGAGTTTGTTTTGTACAATGGCACCAAGATCAATAATTGACCAATCAATTCCTGTGTAGCTTCCATCAAATAGTTTTATCCTCATATGCCAAGCGCCAGGCAGGGTAACAACAAGTACCATCTTTTAATGTCATGTGATATGACACTGTATGGGATCAAGCACTGACTTTCCACTCTCCCCCAACATGCCTATTCAGTAGACCAAGGAGTCTTGTTGAAAGGCAGAATCCCCATGAGGGGAGACAAAAGAAGTACACTCCCTGTATTCTACCATGGACTCACCCGCTGCTTGGCACACGTCCTGGTGATGAGGATGAGGCACTTGGCGTGGCAGCTGTAACCACAGTCTGGAAACAAAGGCACACTTGATGAAATTCAACATGGCTTCTAATATCTTAAATCCCAAACTTTCCTTTTGGGATGTTCATTAATCCTTTTTCCCTCAGAGATTCTTTACTTCTCTAAAGTGAGTGAGTGAGTGAGTTTAGTTTTACGCCGCACTCAGCAATATTCCAGCTATATGGCGGTGGTCTGTAAATAATCGAGTCTGCACCAGACAATCCAGTGATCAACAGCATGAGCATCAATCTGCGTAATTGGGAACCGATGGCATGTATCAACCAAGCCAGCGAGCCTGACCACCCGATCCCATTAGTCGACAATACTTCTCTAAACAGAGTTGTATTTGAAAATCTGAAACTCAAGGGTTATATTATCAGCAGCCATACATAAGTAGCATGTTAGTTGCAAGATCCATCTCATCAAAATCTGATCTTTCACTACCCCTCAGTCCTGTCATCGATGAAATGCATGTCCCCTTTATAATGAAATTACATCAGTTATTACCATACTAACTTGACTTGATAAATTATTAATTCCAATATGGGAACTGTCATTGACATTTCCTTCAACTTGGGACTGAATATATATCATTAGCAATATCACAACTATATAAGCTCCCATTAGCCACCATTAGTAATATCACAGCTATGTAAACAGCAGCCATTAGGATTTTTTACACTAAATGATCCCTAAACAGCAGCCATTAAGATTTTTTGCAATTAGATCGAGCCTTACCTATACACTAGATTGAGCCTTACCTATACACTAGATGGAGCCTTACCTATACACTAGATGGAGCCTTACCTATACACTAGATTGAGCCTTACCTATACACTAGATGGAGCCTTACCTAAACACTAGATTGAGCCTTACCTATACACTAGATGGAGCCTTACCTACACACTAGATGGAGCCTTACCTATACACTAGATGGAGGCTTACCTACACACTAGAGAGCCTTACCTATACACTAGATTGGAGCCTTACCTATACACTAGATTGAGCCTTACCTATACACTAGATGGAGCCTTACCTATACACTAGAGAGCCTTACCTATACACTAGATGGAGCCTTACCTATACACTAGAGAGCCTTACCTATACACTAGATGGAGCCTTACCTATATACTAGAGAGCCTTACCTATACACTAGGTGGCACCTTACCTATACACTAGGTGGCACCTTACCTAAACACTAGATGGAGCCTTACCTATACACTAGATGGAGCCTTACCTATACACTACATGGAGCCTTACCTATACACTAGATTGAGCCTTACCTATACACTTGTACCATGCTTGGACCATGCCCCATATGACAGCGTTACACTTCTCACAGTAATGTTTGGAGCCCCGACTCGTCTTCTCTCGGAACTTGTGTCCCACCACAACCTTGACATCTGAAGACACGGGCTCTGAACCCTCCTGGGAAACAATCGAGATATGAGTGAGTGAAGTTTATTCATGCAGTATTTCAGATATATAGAGGATATTCTATTAGTGCCCATGTCATACTATGTTTACAACACGAGTGCCCAAATGTTGGTATTTCCTGAGCAAGAGCAAGGCATATACCGATATTTAGGCACGAGTGTCGTAAACCTAGTATGATATGGGCACAAATATAATGTTCTATTTATTACCGAAGTCGTCAAATTGAGGAAGATAAGCCCAAATCTACTTTTCAAACTACCTGCCCTTGCCGCATGTAGAACGCAACGTCATGAAAGAAACGTGATGTCATAGCATTGTTCATGACCTCACGTCACCATGACAAAGTGATATTTTGCCCTAGGGCCCTAGGGCATCATATGAAAAATATGAACTCCGGATATGTTCACCCGTTCTTGAGGTATCTCAGCTGACAAGCATAACATGTAGTTTAATACTTGACCTCGACATGAATGTCATGCTGAAATCTTCAAAGTGTCGCCATGACCTTGACAATTATGTGAAGGTCACCAAAATCGACTGGGCCCTGCGCCTTCCCGAGATAAAGCTTGCTATTGAATATGAAGAAAATCCAGAGAACGATTCTTGAGATAGCTTAACATGCAGGTAAAACATGAAAGTCCCCTTGTGACCTTGAAATCAAGGTCACGGTCACCAAACCTGACTTGGACCTTTCTTATAGTGTGATGAACCCAGGTGTCAAATATGAAAAGAATCTAATGAACGGTTCTTAAGATACTCCAATTCGTACGTGACGGACAAATATGGACGGGTATGATCTGCACGGATTGCCTAATACTATATCCCCCGCTTAGCGTTAAACGCACGGCGGGGGATAATAATCATGGCAGAGTTGGTTTACCATTTGATAAAGCCTTACTTGAGACCAATGCATGACAACACCCATCTCATGCAAACACACGACTACACCCACCCCACCACCTCCTCCTTCCACACAACAAAACAGGTGCCCTACTTTCAGTTCCTGTTTCTTCATCCTTAGTTGCACCAGTTTCCTGATAAGGTTCTTCTGTTTGTCAGAGTTATGAGGGGCCAACTTGATCAGCTCTACGCAGTTCTCTATAGCAAGGTCCAGCTCCTCACTGCTACTCAAACCGAAGTGACCCTGAAACCAACAGACAACATGTCAGATCTGTACAAGATACAGTGGAGCCAACTTGTCCACACAGTTCTCTATAGCAAGGTCCAGCTCCTCACTGCTACTCAAACCGAAGTGACCCTGAAACCAACAGACAACATGTCAGATCTGGACAAGATACAGTGGAGCCAACTTGTCTCACACAGTTCTCCATAGCATGGTCCAGCTCCTCACTACTACGCAAACCATCTCTGAAACCAAGAGACAACCTGTCCTATCTGTACACGACAGAGTGAAACCAGCTCTGGCACAAGACGGTAAGCTGTCACATTACCGTCTTTCAAGTTGGATTACGTTTATACATGTTGTCATAAGACAAGTAGTAGCAAGCAATCACGTGATCAAACATGGCAGCCTAATCAAAACATTGTCAGCTCATTTCCATTCAGTGCTTAACAAGCTCAATTCAGGTTATTTGGTAAATAACAAGTGTGAAAAGAAAAAGAACAACACCAAAGATTCAGGATGTCACATTTTATCATCAACACAGATTCCTGAGTTCGCATTAATTTCGTGACACATTTTAGACTAGACCCTAGCACTCGCATTAAATTCCTGAGCTGCATTAATTTCACCATTTACAGTATTTGAAACAAAGTCACAAACACCACATGCTAAACGTGCTGAGTTGGGAGGGACCCAAGAACTCTCAAGAGTCAAGCAGCCAAATTGAGTCATCCTTCCAAACTCTTCAAAGTATTCTCTGTGGCCATTGTTGCTTAATTTCCAAATATACCTTTCCATATTTTTATCATCTTCTCTTCCCTGATAAGGCCTAAAAAACAAATGCTGTGGTTCCGATTACCCAACCGACCCTTGCATTCTGGTGCCGACCCTATCTTATTTAGGTGGTATGAATAAAATAAGCTTTCAGATACCATTGCTTTTTCATGTCACCAACGGACATCGGTCACACTGGTAGAGAAAGTCGACATGATGGCTGCATGCTTGATTGAATAAACAATTACACATTGATAAATGTCTTATTAGTTTTTTACTGCTAAATAACTGTAAAAAAAAAAAAAAAAAAATCCTACTTGTCCTAGAGGTGTAATCAGAACCACAACTTTTTTATTTGGCCTAACTTACAAATGTTTGATAGATCACAGATCATGTGCTGATGGAAGTACAGGCTTACAAAGTGATATAGCAGAAACTAATTGTTGTTTGATCTGTGAAGATCAGGGTTAGAATTGGTCTTCAGCAACCCATTATTGTTGTACGAAGCAATCGAAGGGATCCGGTGGTCAGGCTCGTTGACTCGGTTGACACATGTCATCATATCCCAGTTGCGTAGATCGATGATCTCTGGATTGACTTTCCAGACTCGATTATTTACAGACCGCAACCACATAGCTGGACTATTGCTGATTGCTGCATTAAACAACGAACAACAAGCAAGCAATTTGTAGTTTGTTCTCTAACTTCACACAATATTCTCCACTAAAAATCTCATGAATACACACCTTTCCATTAGCAAAAACCAGTTCATTATCATGAACTATTTAAAAAATATTTCAAAACTTCAAACAGCAATAGCCCTATACACATGCATGGATTGTCATTCTTGATTTTGACGATTTTCAAGCAGCTCGATAAATCACTGTAGACCATTAATTTTGACAATCATCTTGCATCACACAGTTGTTAGTGTTTGTTTCTAGCCGGAGTTTTCCATTTGGTTTGAAAATGAAAATCCTACACATGCAAATTTCATGTCATACACTAGTCATCTTTCAAGCTGTATGAACAACTATGGTCATAAGGAAGTGCAAAAAATGCTCTCTCAAAACACTCATTATTATCATATCACTATTGACTGACTCCGATATATCTCCAAATTTGTTCAATCATAAATTAAAAATGAATCTCCACTATTTTTTTTAAGAGTATACAATGTATATGAACACCTTGTGATAAGATCAAATTCCAAATACACAGTTACAGATATAGAAATGTCAGGAAACAGCCAGTGTCACATGTGTAAAAAGGAAACACTTCACGTTTGACTTGGGATTGGATGTGAGATAACGGCCAGAACCTCTCCACTCTTCTGTGTTCCCCTGTAGCAGGGTGTTTCCTGTCAATGTGTCAATGGGTACTTTTATGAAGGTTTAAATCTCTTAAAATTGAACAGTGCCATTAAAGAGAGGGCTCAATGAAAAATGAAAAAGGCTATCTAAAATTCTGTTTATTATGCCTGTTCATTTCTACTTCATATTACATGTTTGTTCAGTTAACTGGTGTGAATACATGTTTATCACATAACATGAATCATCACAAGGAATTATGAACAAAGACATTCAAGTGATTCCATGGCATTTGATTGGTCAACCAAACTGAAGTATCTGCATTTAGCATATCAACGGAACAAGTCAGGACGGTTTCAACTTGTTAAACTAAAGCCTTACTGGATTGTTGGTTTGTTGTTTAACACCACAATATTCCAGCCATATAGAGGCAGTTTGTAAATAATCGAGTCTGGAACAAACAATCCAGTGATCAACAGCATGAGCATCGATCTAAGCAACTGGTCATCTCGCCTGACCACCTGATCCCGTTAGTCGCCTCTTACAACAAGCATGGCTAACTGAAGATCAATTCTAACTCGGATCTTCACGTGTCGCCTTACTGGGGACAACACATGACCACACCCACCATCACCTCTTTCAACAAACACAGAGTGTCCTACTTTTAGTTCCTGTTTCTTCACCCTAGAAACAGCTGGCCGATTGATTAAATATAACATTGAGACAGTCATTGAGTCATAATATTATGTTAAATAATCCCATCTACGTGACTGTGCCGGATGTCCCACTGAGCGTTAATATTATGGCGCAGATCAACAAATTATTGCCAGAATCGTGCACGGTGGATGCCCTGACAGACACTGTACATTGATGACTGTTTTGTAGGTGACAGGGTATACTTAGTGTGAACATGGTAAACACTAACTCTGACATCCAGCAAAATATTACACATCTAACAACAAAATTTGTCCCTGGACAAATTCACAAAAAGTTGCATCCATGCATACAAACTGAATTCCTTCACACATAAAATCAAAACAGCAGTCATGTGTTAATATTTCCCTTCTAAAGTCACCAGGGCGGTGGGGTAGCCTAGTGGTTAAAGCGTTGGCTCGTCACGGCGAAGACCCAGGTTCGAATCCCCACATGGGTACAATGTGTGAAGCCCATATCTGGTGTCCCCCGCCGTGATATTGCTGGAATATTGCTGAAAGCGGCATAAAACTAAACTCAGTCAGTCAGTCTAAAGTCACCACAGTCAGTTATAATGCTGTGTTAGACAGAGATGCAGGTGGGGCGGCGGGTAGTTAAAGCATCCCTTCATCATGCAAATTCCCAGTGTTAAATCCCAACACATGTTGTGTGAAGCCAATTCACCACATCACAGACATAATATATGGAATATTGCTGCAAACATAACAAAGCCAAACACACTCACCACTGGATAAAATTTGGCAACACTGATGCCTTCATAGAACATTAATACATTAAAGAGCATGATCGTGCACCAGTTTAAAAAGTGGCATGTAAATACCTCCTCCTACCTTGTGTCTCCAGCCAGTGAAGCAGTGAGTAGATACACCATGTGTACGTGGTATTAGTCACTGTGTTACATATATATGGATGATTAGAGAAGCTAATTCCTGGGAGCCCTGTCAGTGACTAATTTCCTCGTTAGTTGATGCTAATCTCCTTTGTGTGCTGTTAATTAGCAACAGCTTGTGGAACGAGCAAGCCTCCAGTCACATGACAGCAAGCCTAGTCATCTTGCTGCTTTATGTCATGTGACATAACACATGACACAGCATGGCAACAGATTGTTGAGGATCATCAATACCAGTCTCGGCTGTCTGTCCCTCCATTCACCATCCATGCTGACTTACATCTGTCTCACTGTCTCTGAACCACATATTTTCCCTTCTGCCAAGTCCCCCTGCCATACTAAAGCCCTAAATGAAGCAAGTCTAGATTTCTTCAGTTTCAGGCCCCATCTCACAGGGGCTCCTTTTCGATTTTAATGGGGTTTTCTTGTTTTTGTAAATATTTCATATATTCAGAGTTTTTTTATTTTTTTATTTTTTTTTTATTTTTTATTCATCTTTTTTTTCAGGTACAAAACCATGACATCAAATAATAGTCAAATATAACCCTGCGTTTGTATACAGAGTTTGGCAAGCATATATATAACAAATGACATTGTAGGGAAATGGGTCGGTTGTACGTTAGTATTAATCAAACAATTGGTGACAATCAGACCAAAATCCAACAAATTTGGTAAAATTACAAGAAGACATGGCATGTGTTCTCTCGATATTGTAAACTTTACTTATTTCATATATTCAGAGACTAAGCATTAGTCTAATGCTGACTCAGTCCCACTTATTGTCATACTGATTGGGAATCAACAATAAGTACTACTCAAAAGGTGAAACACATGTTATATTTGGGATTTTACTTTCTCGGTGAAGTAGAGATTCTAGTATCATGTGGAAGGTGGTGGCTGGGTGGGTTAGGCGGCAGACGTTGTGTGCTGGCAATTAAGTACCTGACTCTGAGGGTATTTTTTATGGTGGGTTCAGTCCCATTTTGGATTCGAACCCACACTCTCAGAGTGAGGCACCTAATCGCCAGCACACAAAATCAGCCGTCTCACCCGCTCACCACTGTGACTTGCAAAAAAATGGAAGTCGGACAACTGGTAGTCTAGATCATGGACTTTGTATAACCCTCTGACAAGTGTTAATTGGCATGGCCATAGCTATGAATACACAATGGGACAGGATATGTATTGTTTTTTTTATAAAATTATAACAAAAACAATGATTCATTTTATAGTAGAAATTTTCTGAATAATGTATTTTTCATTTGATTGGAAATTGACACGCAAAGAAAGATTCATTTAGTACTAAATTTCTGAATAATCTATTTTTTTTCTTT